TTTAGTATAGTTAGCACACAATACCTCCATTTTTATATATTGATAAAATTTTCCCCCACTAATCATTTATACCGTACGTATTTTTTTCTTTTTTTGCGATTTGAAACCATTGTATTCTATTCTTCTGTGTTCAATTTACTAAACAATAACCAACACTAGTATAACGATTTCTACAACCTAATTAACTTTTCATATAGACGAGGTAAAGTATACTCACAGACTCTCCGACATACGGTATTTAGTAAACCCTTTGGGTACAACTATATTAAATAGATAAAGGTGTGCTCGCTCACAGAGGCTGTGTGCTCCTCCGTGGCGATGACGGCTTGCGTTAAATAAAAAAACATATTTGTGAAGTGGGGGCTACCGGTAGCTCGCAATCGACGTGTTGGAGAACCCTGCTCTAATGGGTCTGACTAGAATGACAAATATCGTTAGCTCCGCCTATTCCGTCAGCCAAGAAATCGTTTAATCATAAACTATTTTTATTTTTTTTGAATTTTCAGGGGGGCCACTGTCCAAAGTCAGTGTTAGGGGGGCACTGGCCCGCCCCCTAGAACCGCCCCTGCATATGGGGTCAATTATGGTCAGTTATAGACTTAACTTGCTCCTCAAACACTGAGATACTCAAATGTTACTAAAATAAAAGGATTGTGTTTCACATTTGAACAGACATGTTGCAAATATATTATGCAATATACTGAGTGGTCAGCAACACCCAATCTTCTCCTTGGGCTGACCATTGTGTTCTGAACTATAGTATAAATAGTAGTAAACATAAAATAATACAGCATCCATAATCCTAACCCTAACCCTTACCATTTGGCAATGGAGACAGCAGAATGACTTGCACATACAAACCCACATTTTACTTTATTTTTGTTTAGAGGGGGAACCAAGAAGCTGAATGCAGTTAAGTTTGCTCACTGTCTCTTTTGGAAAACATAGCAGACAGCTGGTGTTTCCCCAGTTGATGGTCAATCCTACTGAATGGAGCATCAGTGAGAGTTTGTTAATAGTCAGTGTGGAAGTGTCTTTGAAAAGTGCTTTTAGACTGTGCACTTTAAAATGCGATAAAGGTTGAGGGGGATGTTATAAAAGCTCAGCACTTGAAAGAGGCAGTTCAACTATTAATTGCCTTATGAAGACTAAATCACTTCACACTAAACCATTTTGACTGCTCAGCCTCAATCATTGGGGCAAAAAGAATGTTTTGCACGAGGAATCATTTATTGTAGGAGCCAAAAGATGATAACTCTTTATACAGAAAGGTAATTATCCTCAAGCGTAATGCAGTAGGCTTTTGCAGATATTGAATAATTGACTTCTGTTGAAAGATGCTTGATATAGCAAATAGCTGTTCTCCAAAAAATACTGCAGGTCACACTTCCAGTGTCCAAGCAATCGGGCCGCTCCAAAATGCAACGCCCTAAGTCCTTTCCCAAAAAGGACTGAACTAATATTGTGGAAAGCAAGTATAGTAGAGAAAGTTTGAGTTGTCTTCATTTTGTTTTTGAGGCTGATGGTGTCCAGCATATAGATTAGCTGCTTTAATGCTTAAAATAATCTCCCTTGACAGATCAAGTTTAGGAATTTGTTCAGTTGTTCTGCTTGCCTTCCATTTCCATTTCCCATATTTTCCAGCAACAGTTTTGGAAAATAAAATCTGTGTGTCTTTTCGTGTGCCATTGTGCACCGCCTACTTTTTATTTTATTTAAATCTGTTCAGGTAGGAAGTTTATCGTGCATTTAACCTTTTCTCTAAGATCAATTAAATCCAAATGAACATTTCACACACTGTTATTGTAACTCCTTCGAATGGAAGAGTATTATGGTTTCTTTCTTTTATTTATAAAGCAAAGTATGAGCCTGCAAACCATGTTTGTTCTCCCAGCCCTTCACTCTGCAGCCTCCTGCCAGCATATCTCCTCTTTTGCAGAGCACAAACCTCCCATCTTAACCACATGCTCCCCCTCTTATCTCAATCTGCCAGTGGGTGTGGGAATGGGCTGCAGTCTGTTGGGTCTCCATCTCACCAAAGTGCCAGTATACGTTTAATGAGCCTCACTCTGAGGGTACGAGACCTCAGATTCTCTGTGTGCGCCCTGGTTCTGATATGTTTTAATGAGCCCATCTCTAAGGTCGAGGCTTATGATGACTCCAAACTGAAAACATTGCGAGTTCTTTGACAACTTTATTTTTGCTTTCATCTCACTACCTTACTCCAGCCCCTTAGGTCTGTGTTGTATCCTCTCTCGACCTCTGCAGATTTAATCCAGCCCCACTTAGCCTATCTTCTTCTTCTTCTTCTTCTTCTTCTTCTTCTTCTATAATTACAAGCTTTGAATCTCTGAAACTGTACTCATTGTGCTGTAGCTAATTAAAACATGAAAGCATTCAATCTAGAACAATGTCTTCATCACATTGGCTGCCCTGGTACTGTAAGTGAAGTACAAGTAAATTGTAAGTTATAAGTTATAAGTTGTAAGTCTGTAAGTTGGTACTGTTTTTAAATTGTTATGATACAAACATTACAATTAATATATGCTACTTTGTTGAGTATATAAATAGTGATTTTACAGAAACATTTATTTATTTAACAATTCAACAAATACATTTTATTTAAAGTTTTTTTCACACAAACTGTTGTGCAAGAACTTTACCCAAACTAGACTGGAAAAGCAAAAGGTAAAAGGTTTAAACTTAAAAAGCAGTTAGTGTAGTGAAGACAGGTGAAGCACTTCCTACACAGAAAGTGTTTAATTCGCTCTATTTTAATCAATACAGCTGTCTACAAAGCTGCCGAACAGCTTGCATTTCCTTCTTTTCAAATGATCCTCCCTGCTTTCAAGCATCCTTTGGTTGCAAAAGCAGAATGGTTTGAAACAATTACAGAAGCAATTGGCATTTACATTTTGGCTTTTAGTCGAAGTAAAACTAATTAAACACTCCTCCTAATGCACTAGTTTATTTTATTATTCTTGTTTGTTCCGAATTTTATGTTTCATCGCACAAAAGATTTTTTATTATGAATATAATTAGTTGTCAGTTTTAGGATTTTGGGCTCCCGTAATGAGTTCTGAAGAGGTATTCGTTATCACTATTCTTTGAGTTTATTCAAGAACAAAGTCACTACAGAGCTTTCATCATTGAAGGTGATGTGATGACTGTTCCAATTTAGCCCAAATGAAGCTTTATTGAGGTGTCTTTATTTGTACTTCCTTTTTTCTCCCTTGCCTTCCTCCTTTAACTATTTCTGTCCTTACAGCTTTTTCTCCAAGACTATCATTTTTCATATCTTCCAACCAATAATGATATGTCCATTTATTTTTCATCTCACATCTTGTGTCTTCCTTTTCTTTCATTTTAAAATGTTATTGACAGGTTTGGTGGGGAAAACCTCTGTAGCAATGGAGAGTCAGGACTCAGAGAGACACGAGGAGAGCTGGAGCTTTGATGGCAAACACTGATGGTTTATTTGGAGTTACGGCCGGAGAATTGACAAGACAGGTGGTGTGTCACGAGTTGACACAGCGGTTGCCAAACCAATTCTGAAGAACTCTTCTGCAGCTCGAAGGTTTTAACTAGTTCTGAGTGTAATAATCAACATTCTTCATCAGTGAGACTAAAGCATTATGGACCCTGAATCTAACTAGAGCTCTCGTCCATAGAAAAGAATGTGCGCCAGGGAACCTTCGTTCCTGAACAGTAAACTACCTCATGGCGGCTTCTGCTCTGTCATAGACTGGCAACAACAATGCGCCCAGGCTGCTCCCCCTTAAGAGAGATAGCAGCAATACCCAAAGCTGTAGACCTATGCCATGGGACAAGAGACAGTGAGAGGAGAAAATGATGAACTGTGTCGAAGGTTGAATA